CCGCCACGTTCCAGAGGTATATGCTCGACATCTTCGACCGTCTGGTCAGAGAAATCATGGAGGTGTTCATGGACGATTTTTTGTTTTATGGAGATTCATTCTCTCATTGTCTTCATAATCTGGAACTCGTCCTGAAAAGGATTGAGGAGACGAACCTGACGTTGAGTTGGGAGAAGTGACACTTCATGGTTCGCGAAGGCACAGTTCTGGGGCATAAGATCTCCAAGATGGGGATAGAGGTGGACAGGTCCAAGATTGAGACAATCAACAAGTTGCCTCCTCCCATATCTGTAAAGGGGATTCACAGTTTCTTGGGCCATGCAGGGTTCTATATGCAATTCATCAAAGACTTCTTGAAGATTGCCTTGCCACTGACAAAGCTCCTTGAGAAGGATGCCCCCTTCCAATTCACTGACATGTTCACATTGGCATTCACGACCTTGAAGGAGAAGCTCACTCATGCTCCTATCATGGTCACTCATGACTGGACCTTGCCCTTCGAGTTGATGTGCGACGTAAGCGACTTTGCAGTTGGAGCTATCCTGGGCCAGAGGCGAGATCAGCATTTCCGACCTATCTATTATGCTTTCAAGACCCTTAATGATGCCCTGGAGACTTGCACCACCATAGAGAAGGAGTTGCTAGTGGTGGCGTTCGCCTTCGAAAAATTTCGCCCTTATCTGGTGTTGTCTCGCGTGATAGTGTACACGGATCACTCCACCATAAGATACATGATGAGCAAGGCCGACGCCAAGCCTCGGCTCATATGAAGAATCTTGTTACTACAGGAGTTTGACAAGGGGATCTGGGATAATCGTTAGAGTGACAAGCAAGCACACTTAGATGAGATCCGAAATGATATTCAGGATAGTAATCCAGTCTTGAGAGAGAGTAGAGTGAGCTTGAGACCTAACCACCCAATCCGCTCTGCAGTTCAAGCGACGAGAAAAAGCTTCCACCTTGATGAGATTTGTTGATGAAAAGATGTTTTGCATAGTTTCCACCGATGCGAAACATCTCCAAGGCCAAGCATCTTGGCAAGAGGGGAGGGCATTGACAAGGGTCTCGCAGTCCAAACGAACAAAACACTAGAGGTTAATTTGGTGTTTATTCAGAATGATTGTTAGTAATTTTAATGGCGATATATAATGGCGGAATACATATATAATTGATATGTCTATTAGTGGTGTGACATTTGTATTCTAAAATCAAATTATATATTTATATATATATGGTGCCTTTACGGTATCTCGAGTGAAATTCGGGGTACCGCATACCTTGAGTATGAAATCGCTATCTAGACCTCTAATTAGCGGGATTTTGGGCATGATACTATACCCTAACCCTTAATGAGTGAACCCTAGGTCCTAATTATCTAAATCATAAACTATAAACCCTAAGATGGTGCATTGATTTTCTTGCCTATATTTGGACGAATCATAACCATCGATTATTGTTTCTAATTAAATTGATCTTGGGGTATAAGATTATTGATAAGCCGTTAATTGCACATGTTTTTACCCTTATTCTGGAGCCGTTTGAGCTGGTAGTTCTTGTGTTTTAAGCCGATTTCACGCTAGGTTGTGTTTGTTTGTGATATTTCAGGGGTCCTAGCAAGTGTATGAAGGTTTAGAAGCGAGTTCGGGGTCGATTGGACGAAGATCGGGCGCGAGGCAAGTCAAAAAGGAAGCCACACGGGCACACCCACAACTCACACGGCCGTGCAAGTGACCACTTTGGCCGTGTGGGATTGTGCGAGACTTCAGACGGCCAGCCCTGATTGTCACACGGCCGTGTGAAGTTGCACTTTGGCCGTGTGGAATTGTGCGAGACTTCACACGGCCAGGCAGGGTGAGTTATACGGCCGTGTGACCCTGGCCGTGTAGGAAGCCTGAAGTGCAATTAATCGGAACGCGGCATTTTGACCTCACACGGGCAACTGGGTATGCCACACGGCCGTGTGGCCCTGCCCGTGTGAGTCGGGAATTTCTGGTTTTTACCCAATTTCGGGCTGCAAGTGGGAGAATCGAGTTTTGAGAGCAAAAACAGAGCCCTAGAGAGAGAAAGTACGAAGAACACATCCTAGAAGCTATCTTGGAGCTGGGTTTCATCAAATCAAGCTTGGAGATCGTCATAGGAGTGGAAATCATCATCCCAGAGCAGATTTTCCTCATCTTTAAGAGTATGACTACTCTGTATTCTGTTTTCCTCTCTATCTATGGAGTAGAAGCCTTCTCTCACTTGGGTATGAAGAACCCTAGTTCTATGTGTTAGGGATTTGATTGTAATGACTTGGGATGATATTAGTGCTTGGTTTTAATCGAATGATGCATGTTTATTGAGTCAATTGAAGTCTGATCAGCTTTTCCTGATTTCTGCTGCAACCTGAGATAGATAGAATCTGATTAGGTTGTTAGAGCCTCATCATTCGGTAGTAGGAGATTGGCTATACGAGAGTTAGCCAGTTTACTGTTTTGTACTGGAATTCAATTCCAGTAGTGGAGTTCTGTTCTTACTGCTTCAGCTGTCTATCCCGGTGAAGACTAGTTTTCTGTCGGGTAGTTAGTCTGAGAGGGCTTGGTCAGCTTAAGAGATTCCAAGCTACTGTCGGATCTTCCGCAGTCTAATCAACAGTAAATCAACCCAGGGAAATTACGATTGAAACCTAACTAAGGAGCTAGGGGGACTCATTCCCGAGTGACTCTTCTTTGCTTGAGAAAACCGTACCAATTCCTGCTTTCTTTCTGCTTTTGCTTTAAACAACAATCACTTGACTTAGTTGGCTAGATAATAGATAATCACTGAGTAAGCAGTAGATCTAGACCCCGGGTTGATAATACAACTTGCTACTTTACTGCATTCCCGGTCTGCGATTACACTTGGTCACAGATTGGTGTTGTGTTTTGGAGTGTCAATTATAGAATTAAGACCTAGATGTTGATCTTTAAGGGTTAGTGTATAGTATCATGTCCGAAAGATCAGTCAATTCAAGTTCTGGATAGCATTTTTTTACTCAAGGTATGCGGTACCCCGAATTTCACCCTGGGTACCGTAGAAATCCTCATATATATAGTGCTATATATATGGTAATGACTGGTGTACGTCAGGCATATACTATACGTCAGGTGATCTAACCGTTAGATGTACTTAGATGAGCTCCGGTTGATCTCAACGGTCAATTTTTGCTTTTCATTAAATCAAACTTCGGGTTGGGGTTTATAAAATCGGTGTCTGGGGTTTATCATTAGAGGTTAGGGTATAGTATCGTACCCCAAACTTGATTTAATTCATGGTCTAGATAGAGATATCTTAACTAGTAGTACCTGACGTATAGCATACGCCTGACGTACGTCAGTGTGACCTATATATTTTAGTGCATTGAGTGCACCCAACTCTAAAAGTATCCATAATACATCAAATTTTGAACTTCAATTAGTAGTCTCAATCTAATATGATGATATGACATAGAATCACAATAAATCAATCTATTACCCTAACCCCTTAACCTTCAATTGGTATATATATAAGGTGCCTTCTGCGGTACCCCGAGTGAAATTCGGGGTACCGCATACCTTGAGTATGAAATCGCTATCTAGACCTCGAATTAACGGGATTTTTGGGCATGATACTATACCCTAACCCTTAATGAGTGAACCCAATGTCCTAATTATCTAAATCATAAACTATAAACCCTAAGATGGTGCATTGATTTTCTTGCCTATATTTGGACGAATCATAACCGTCGATTATTGTTTCTAATTAAATTGATCTTGGGGGTATAAGATTAGAGAATTAAGACCTAGATGTTGATCTTTAAGGGTTAGAGTATAGTATCATGTCCGAAAGATCAGTCAATTCAAGTTCTGAATAGCATTTTCTTACTCAAGGTATGCGGTACTCCGGATTTCACCCTAGGTACCGTAGAACTCCTCATATAAATAAATATATATATATATATGGCGAGTTCTACGGTACCCCGGGTGAAATCCGGGGTACCGCATACCTTGAGTATGAAAATACTATCTAGACCTTGAATTGACCGATTTTTCGGACATGATACTATACTTTAACACTTAAAGATCAAAATCTAGGTGTTAACTCTCCCAATCTTATACTCCAAGATCAATTTAATTAGAAATAATAATCGACGGTTATGATTCATCCAAATATAGGCACAAAAAGGAATGCATCATCTTAGGGTTTATAGATTATGATTTAGATAATCATGACCTAGGGTTCACTCATTAAGGGTTAGGGTATAATATCAGACACAAAAATCCTGGTAATTCGAGGTCTAGATAGAGTTTCCATACTCGAGGTATGTGGTACCCCGAATTTCACCCGGGGTACCATAGAAGCCACCATATATATATATATATATATATATATATATATATATATATATATATATATATATATATATATACTCTCAATAGAAGCTTATAATAGAACTTGACGAATTATCTTTTTACACAAAGATGATAAGCTATAACAAAAACATAAATAATCAATTTAGAAACATAATAATTTAACGCAACTGCTACATCTCAATTTTACATGAATCATACAAATAGAATAAATAGCACAACAACAATAGAGCCTAAGACAGATGTATAACACACACAAATACCATTACACATTTATATGGTTGGAGACAAAGACAAGGAAATCAGGAGCCGAGTTTCCCCGAAAGATGTCAAGCCTAGTACCATTATTAGTTATTATTTTAGTCTACAAATCTACAAATACCTATATGGCAATGTCAACAAAAAGCAATTGCCACATCAGCTCCTGCGCTTCAACCCCCACAAATCGGAAGGTTTTATCTGTAACTTCACACCCCCTTTTTATTTTTACTTTTTTTCTCTTTTATTTGTGAGTTTGCGGTTGAGAATCATTTCATTTCCAATTTCCATCTCCCCTCTCTTTTTTTTTTTTTGAAAGTGTGGTTCATTAAGAATGCAATGGGCAAGCCCAAAGGAAAAGATACAAGCAGTATACTACAAGGGCTAAAAGTCAGCAAAAACAAGGCCCAGCAAGCCTGGAACCCAATAGGGCCCAAAGAGCAGGACCAAAAAAACATTTTCTAACCCTAACCCTAGCAGCCACTGCTCCCCTCTAGAAACTCCGCCGCCAAGGATGGAACCGCCGCCACTGCCGTCGAATGACAAGAACCAAACAACGCCTCCACATCAGAGGAAGAGAAAGCAGAGGAAAAGGATCCACCACCCGGATGGCAGGCTGGTGGAGAGACGATCTTCAACGAAACCCACCCCAAGCCGCTCGAAACGTCCGCCTCCCGCCGCACGATCCCATGGGAAGCCAAACAAACTCGAACAGTCAGACAACGAAGGAAGTAGAGGGGAGACGATCTTCTGTCTTCAAGCTCTCCAGACCGCATCCGTCGCCAAGGGCTGCATCTCAGAACCACCAAGATCTGCAAGGTGAGAGCAAGGAGGTAGATTTTGGAAAGGAGAGGAGAAGACAAGCCAGATATGAAATCAGATCTAGCCTCCTTGCAACTTAGATCGGACAATCATCTCTAGTTCTGAATCACCAGAACAGAGGGCCAAAAATCAACCCATCATAGGGGAAGGACATCAACCCACAAGGGGAGGAGGAAACATGCATGAAAGCAAAGCAACAAGGACTCGGAAATGCAGAAAAATGAAAACAAAGCAAGGAACCAGAGCTGGGAAAACGGAAAGGACAGCAGAAAAACAAAAAGGGCGGAGAGCTGCCACCGGTCGCCGGAGAGGCACCGGCGGCAGCTCCCACGACTGCCTGGAAGAGGGGGTTTTTAGAGAGAGTTCAGAGGAAAAAGAAATAGAGAGAAAGTGATCCATCTCCCCTCTCCCTGTTCCACCGTCCACATCCCTTCTATTCCATTATCTTCGCACCCATAATCCAAATAAAACACTAAACAGAAGCTAATCCCAACATCTCTTTCCTAACCCTTTCTATTTATCTTCAATCAAATTGCAGCTGCAGATTCGTAAAAATAAAAATAAAAAACCAAAAATTGTGGATGCATCTTTGTGGCTTCTACTCGCAGCTGGTGCTTTTAATCGCATCCCTGATTCATTAAATTTGCCATTTATTAGACTTGTCCATTTTCTATTTCTTAGTGTTTGATCGATTGATCATTGTCACAACTAAGTCATTTTGTTTTTAATAGACCCATCGGATTTCGTTTAATTCACTATTTTTATCAATTTCTTCGAATTTTTACGTGATTGTGATGATTTTAAGCTATCATGTACGTTCAGCAAAAATAATTACTACATATTTGGAATGATATATGCTTGGCATTTCAGGTTCAATCTTTTGGCGTGCTTTATTTATTTATTATATATCTTTCTCACAACATAGGAGTTTTTACTTCCCATTTGATAGCTAAATAAAATTAGGCAAAAATTGTATTGAAATTAACAATAATCCGGCCAACGGGCCGGGCACTCAGCTAGTAGTTTAAAAGAACAAGTAACAATTTTACTGTTTCATAATGTCACATCAAAACTAATATTTTATTAATTAAAATTAGCCAATGAGATTAACTTTCATTAATTAATCAAACTATTTTTCTTTTTGTGTTTTCTTACTCTCTCTTCCATTGTACCATTGAAATGATATTAACTTTCAGCCAGTGGGATTAACTTTCATTAATTAATCAAACTATTTTTCTTTTTGTGTTTTCTTACTCTCTCACATCAAAACTAATATTTTTCTTTTGTACCAAAAAAGCAAATGTGAAGCTGATTTTTTGTTTCTCCATGAAAATTATAATCATAATTATTGTGCCGAAATAGTCACATTAATTAGCCTCGGGCAGTTTATTTGTGAAAATATATGTATGGCCAAAGATGGACCATACCTCCAATATGGTCAAGTTATAGCACTGTTGTCAGATTTAACTAGCATAGAATGTATCAATAGCTTTTTACTCGAAGTATAAAATTACCATATAAGATAAATAAGCGCAAAAATAAGGGTTGGATATCCCTTCAATACAACATAGGTCATCGAAAGGACCTTGGAGACCCACCAAAGCACGAAAGCCTGGATCTTTCAGAAAATGGCGGCGAACTTGCCTTGGGCAAAAACGTATTCGTAGCATATATGCCGTGGGAAGGTTACAATTTTGAAGGTCCCAAATCTTTGGGGTTGCTTTTTCCTATAAACATTGGTTACATTTCTTTTTGTTATTTGTACCAGTAACCAGTTTATGGATGAGTGCTCTTGGAGTAGTCGGTCTGGCTCTGGAGAAAAAGGTTTGGGTTTTATTCCTTCCCCTTAACATCATGAGTTTGTTCAAATTTGCTTTCTGTAAATGAATTTAGTCTGTGACAATCATAGTTTGCTATAGTAGCCAAACATACATCCTAATTTTTTGCTTTCTCTTCTGGTCTGCATTTACAACTTGCGCCCCTGTTTCACAGTTACTGTTTTGGACCCTTTTTTTATTTCACTAGCATTAGCCATATGCTTGAGAGTTGAGACTTCTACCGAGTTTAGAACCAAAGGTTGTGTTCTTATACTACATATGAATTAAGAAATGTGGGATCATTTCTGATAACATTGCACCCTTCTATCCTTTACACAGTTGGGCCAAATCTTTTATGGTTACTCTGCATATGCTGTGTTGAAGTTTCTTGATACTCATTTTGTTGTTAACTCAATTCTTTTATGTTTTCATGAACTTGGATTTAAGAGTATGCCGATTTGATAAAGCACCATTCTGGAAATTATTGTGCAGCTATTTGAAACTTAAAATACATATGTCATTATGGGATGTAGATGATGTTACCTCTATATGACTAATTTACTGACTTAACTATACATTGTCAAATTTGAATGAGGGAATGCAATCGACATGATGACTATAGTGGCAACGTCAGGGAGATTTACTGGAGGTTCCTTATAAGAACATTTTTCCTGAAGCATGCTGGAGTTGAGGAGAGTTAACGGAGACTTACTGAGAATTAGCAGCAAGTGAAGCTTTATGGAGAAATAAAAAAATTATTGAAACTTGAATTTTTTGTTGCTGCAAACTTGGATTTGTTGCTCATTCTACGAGTGAAATATTATAAGATGGATTCTTGGGCCTTTTATGATTGGAGTTATAGGACATATTGGTTCTCGGAACTTTGCAAATTTTCCATATTATATTGAAGAGAGGACAACTAAAGTATGTTATATGACGATGGTGTGTGCATTAGTGAGCCATGAGTTTGGACCAATCTAGAGATGATGGCTGAAGGGATGAAGATCATAAACTTAGAATTGCAGTCTAACATGCTGATTTATGCTAAACTTCCTGCCTAAACTCAGAATATTAGACTACTAAGTTACGAAAAAGATGGGGAAGAAGCATAGGAAAATGAAAAAAAATTATGAGAATATTTTCTTATACGATTGAATGTATTGAAAGTATGAATGTTGTTTAACTTCTTACCTCCTTTTTAGTTCGACCTTGATTCTAAATCCACTTATAGTAACTTTCGAATATCGTTTTACTTTTGTTGAGTGAACCACCTATTGTCCGAATCAATGTTGTATTAGTTGTTCAACAAAAGTGTGAAGAACTTGATGACGTTGTTCCATAGGTATAGTAGTAGTATTTACAAATTCATGTACAAGAAATAATATAGATATAACCCTATATTTCTGATGACAAATTTAATTTTCTATTAACATGATAACTTTATAAACATAATTAGAACTTTTCATTCGCCGCGAAGCGTAAGCGAGCGGGTCCTTGCTAGTTATACATTACAATACATTATAGCATCCAGCCTCCCATCCATTCTTAGTAGTAGCAGCAGCAGCACAAACGGTTGATATTTGAACAACATTTTGACATCCACAGATTGAAGAAGATGCAGATTAGCTCTAAATGCTTTGATGATTTCACTCAAGCAAGTGGAAAGTGGTGAGATCGGATCCAGTCCCGTCGTGGAGATTGTTGTGGTGGTGATTAGGCTGAAGCCTCAAAGCGAAAATGCGAGAGCCAGCCGTTGGGAAGCCAATCACAGCTGGTGAATCGTAATCCCCTCCATTATCCACTAAACCATAGTGTGGATCCTCATAGCCAAAACACTCAATAAGCAACAATAACAACAACACTAAAGAGAATAAACTTAAACGGTCAACAGTTTCAAGTCGCTCGTAAGTTCTAAACAAGTTAGTTTGTGAGTTGAACTCAATGAACAATTGAGTGGAACCAACCTCGTGAGTTATATGAGATGAACATGTCCTAACTCAAACTTTGCTCATCTACTAGCGAGATAACTCATTAAATAATGAGTTGAAAGTTGAAACTAACTTTTTCCAATTCGAAGACCTAGATACTTGCCCAGTTTTGTTCATTTGAACCCTAATTACCTGGTCAAATTAGCAAATCAAGTTTTTCAATCGGACTTCAACTCATATTACCGAAGGCCACCACAATCCTTTTTGTTAGACGTTAAAGTTCAGTGATTAGTTTGTTCTGACCTTAAAGTTTACGGATCAATAGAGCCATTCTTGTTTTGACATTGAAGGGAAGGAATGGATGAAGGGCTGGGGTTGAACGAAACAGGGGTATATTACACCTTTTTGGGGGAGAGTAGTTTTGGTTGAGGGATGAGCATCTTTGTTGACCTTTTCTGCAAAATTCTACTTCCTACAAACTTCCAAATCTCCTCTTATATATTCCATCAAACAAATGATCATAAGAACAAAACAACAAGAAAGCAAATTCTCTATTGTCTGAGCTGTATCAAGAGGCAAGATCATGCACGAAGTAATTAATTATTTTCATTTCTTATTTTTCATGAGTGTACGCGAACAATACACTATCGTCTTAGTAAATTATTTAATTACAACTTCACATATATAGACAAATATTTTTATATTTTTCATAAACCACTCGTTTATAAGATGAACAAATATGTTAGTTAAGATATAAACGGTCTCGATAATACAAATTCAGATTGTACTTATGTTTTTTTACATATTTGTTTATGATACAAACTAAATTTGTATATATAAAGATATAAATTCATTTACACTGCAAACTGAATTTATCATAAAAATTAATTTTCATCTCAAAACACTAATTTTGTAAAGTATACAGATATAGTCAACCATATGTTTCTCTATAACCATATTAGACACTCATTATCCTTCAAAATAAACACGCATGCAAGAACTGTATGTATCAAGGTTGTAAACCCGCGGGTTGACTCGGACCCGATCGAGCTAGTGAGTAAGGGTTAACGGGTCACTTGTTTTAGCTCGTTTTAGTCTTGAAATATGAAAATAGTCATTATATTGTACTTATCCTGATAAATTATATAAAATCTCATCTAACATATGAGTAATAACACATAACATTACACCATAATAACATGTCGTACTTAGATCCAACATATAGTAAAGATTCACACGCACTTATATAACATCAATGTTCAAATTTTCATCTATGGATTCCAAAGATTGAGTTAGGCGAAAAGAAAATTCGGAGAATAGGCGCATTTCGCAAACCAAAGAAAAAAATAACACAATTTGACCTCCAACCTGATACCTCGTAGCGGTAAACCCGGTGGTTACATGCGGCCCGTTTTTTTCACCGGGTCGGAGTCAAAGTGGGTCGACCCGCCCTTCAAACAACCTTCGTATGTATAGATTATAATTAAGTATCAT